ATTAAAGTCACACTTTTCCTACAAAATATTTAATTATTAACTTTGCAGACAAAAACTTTCTTTTTAAACTTAGACATCACAACAATTGAATCCAAACCATATTTTTCAACTTTTAATGCAATCAACTCCTTTTTATACTTTTTTAAAGATGTTTAGGCATGACTTGAAAGTTTGCATGTCTTTGCTGTTGCTGCATTAGCTCTTACAACTGCTTGTCACCAATGGGCAAATGATTAAAGGAGTGTTAAAATTTAAGGAAAATATTTATTTTTAGTCACTTTTGGTGGTGCAATTGAAATTTGGAGTAACTTAATGCTCACCAGATTGCTGAAGAATTAATAAAAACTGCATCTTTCGGATATATTTGTGTGAACACCACTTCTGCAGTGGTGGACACAGAGTCCTAAAAGATGTTGTGGTAACTATCATTGGAACATGTCATTTTATAACAAAATATTTTCTCTTTAAACAGTGTTTAAGAGGTTACTTATGATTACTTTTTATGTGTAATCAGTAATAGTGTAGTAAGGTAACTGTTTTTTGTGTCATTTTATTTTTATGATGACATAAAAAAAAAGGATTACTTGAATTTTCTATGCTATGTTTGAGTAAGTTATGTTGATTGAAAACATCAGAGAAGGGATTAATATTTTATATGCAAATCTTTTCCAGCAGAGAATGTGGCTTTAGGAAGTAGAATAGTTTTATGCATATAGAAATACTGTATTTAGACAAAAATACTCATTAGTAAAAAGAAGAGGGATTTGGTAGCTAAAGTTTTGTTGTAGTTGAATTGTTTGATATATTGATATACATTGTTATATGTAATTACCTTAAGTTTCAAGACTAAGAATTCAACACACACACACTTTTTATGATATTAACCTTTCATATTATTTTATTTTTAGCAAGCTGTGATGGTGCTAAAAAGCGAAAAGCTTGTAAAAACTGTACTTGTGGACTTGCTGAGAAACTTGAACAGGAAAAAGAACCAATACCTCAGTCAAACACTTCTGCTTGTGGAAATGTAAGATCCTAAAGGAGCTTTTTGTTACAGTAACTCTTAACTCTTTCAGCTTGGGCTCGGTCCCTGTGACCTCCCTTGTAACTATTTTGTGCTTGTTATAGTTTTCATGCTATAACTTATAAATTAGTAAGCGAATGTTAACGAAATTTGGCAAATTATTAGTAAACATTACTGTGTTTTCATACACAAAATATCAATTTTTTTTTTTTATTAAGTCTTAAGGTTTGTACAACAATGTTTTTCTCGTGTCTTTTTTTTCTTTTTGCATGTTGCCTATCTATCATGCAAAGTAATATACATTTTAAGATTAAAAATACTTTTATGCATCAGAAAATTTTGAAATTTCATATGCAAAAACCTTTATAATGTCCAGATAGTTATCAAACCTTTCTTAATAAAAAACTATATTTTATCTGTTATTTTCAGTAATTAGTCTCTGTACGGGTTCAGTAGATTTGACTGATCTCATAACCACAATAAAAAATTAGGAAATAAATATAAATTATACATCTTTCATTCCAGAATGAATACAAATTATAACACGAAAACATAAATGTTTAGATTAAATAGCTTAAATCTCATAACATTATACATTTATATATATTTATTATTTTCATTATATTGACCTTTCAGCCATGCCTGGCTAACAATACAAAAGTTACAATGATGCGGCTTACGTGCACTCATGTTACTGTATCAAATAACATAAAACTGACCTTTGGTTTGTACAAAGTAACTTGTCTTGGCTATGTTTTAGTCAACTAGTATTTTGTAAAATACAGTTACATTTCAATTATTATACATTATGTATGTATATAGATTATTGCTATTTTGAAATAAGTTCTTAAACTTATTTTTCTTAAAATGTAGAACAGTAAATAAAGAAATAAAACAAACAATTATCTCTTCTAATTATGACCTTTGTACTGGGTTGCTGCTTGACGTAGGTTGCTAAGCCTTTAAAAAATGTGCACGTTGAGGATATGAAACAGAATTTTTTTTTAGGTTTTATATATACATTTGAATAACTTAAAAAATCATAAATTACTACATCAATACCATAGACTTCCACTATAATTTATCAAGCATAGTAACTAAGATGTATTTTAGTCTAAAAAAATATTAAATTTTGAGCAGACTAAAGACACACCCTACCTTGCTGAAATATTGGTTCAAAAAAAAGAAATGGCGCCAACCCCGTTAAAATAGCTGAGAAAGCCGCTAGGGGGACATTTTGAGCTTCCAATTGGTTATTCATGTCATGTATAGAAGTGTATATGAGGGAGCATTTCCTAAAATGGAAAGAGGTGGGTGGGGTGCCACTGTGTTTGATTTATTACATGAGCAATCTATATTAACAA